TGGTGGACATATCGGACTACTCGTGCTGCCCCGGAAACTCCACGCCTGGGGTTGTAGAGCCCGTCGCCACGCGGAAGGGATGGGACGAAGCGCACACATAGCCACCACCGGTGTGGGCGGACGTAGATTTCCTGATCCGCTAAAGAGCAAACCTTCAGCGTCGCGCCCAAACCTCGGGGATGAGCTTGATGAAATACGTCGTCAAGAGGACATTTAGTGTTGTAGCTGCAGGGGCAAGCTTGTTGGGTCCGGGGTGGGCGGGAGTTGTTGATCCGCTCCGGAGAAAGCAGGGGGCATAAACTGCGTCGCAGAAGCCCTCGAGGAAATGCCAGTCTGTGACATTCCAGTTAGCTATGTAGGATAGCTGTGAGTTGCCTCCACCAGCGGAGTCATGCCTAGCGATACCGGGACATGCGCCGCCACTAGCACTACTAAAGGTGCTTCAATAAGGTGGGCTAACTCTATGGTGCTAGTGCTATATATTCTCCACTGCACTCTACCCGATGGGTCTCGCTGACGAGCCGAAGGCACAGCGGTGTAGTAACAGAAAGCGCGCCGAAGGCGCGGGACCTGTTTTGTTGATCAGCGCGCGCTGAACAACAAAAACAAGATAAGCTAACCAGCTTAATGCGCGCAATAAATGACGGCCCTGAGGACACGGGCCGTTGCGAAACAGTTAGTCTAACAGTTACGCATTGGGCCTTACGCCCAACTAACCCAGCTTACTTACGCAAGCTCGCAGTATACAATTTTCCTAAAGCGTTTCCGTAAACTTGTGCCGCAAGTTTCAGGAGAAATTCCTTGGGCAGCGGCCCGTGCCTTAGCATGCGGCATGCATGACCTTGCATGAGATACCATGCCATACCGTACGTTCCGGATCCATACGTTCGGGAAACGATAGTATTATGGGGCCGTCAAGCGGAAGAAATTATACATCAGCTTGACCCAATTCCAGAAGGCAACACAGCAACAGCAAGCACTGTATACATCTTTAGCACAACAGGAGAAGCGAAACGTCAGGAAGTCCTTATCCTGTTGTGCGGCTTAGTCGCCACGATTTGGCTAACGCTGTGATGCTTGGAAATGTTGGATTGCCTACCCTCAGTGTAGCCAGTGACGGCTGGACTATCTGCTCAATCGTATTCTCTAGGTGTTGGAAAGATAGGCTAGGGAATCGGGTATCTGTTCTTTTGTGCTATTGTTAACCTCCGTGCTGCATCCTTGCAGTGGCACGGGAAATGCCGCCTTCCCGCGAAGATGGCCCGAGCCCAAGCGCCGAGGTCAGCCCCAAGCCAAGCCCCAGCTCAAGGCCCAGCCCCAGCCCCAAGCCCAGCCCCAAGCCACCCAGCCCCAAGCCCAGCCCCAGGCCACCCAAGCCAAGCCCCAAGCCACCAAGCCCCAGGGTAATCCCAAGCCCTAGGCCCAGCCCCAGCCCCAAGGCTAGCCCAAGCCCTAGGCCCAGCCTCAGCCCCAAGCCAAGCCCCAGCCCCGAGGTCATCCCCAGCCCAAGCCCCGAGGTCATCCCCAGCCCAAGCCCCGAGGTCATCCCCAGCCCAAGCCCCGAGGACAGCCCCAGCCCAAGCCCTGAGGACAGCCCAAGCCCAAGCCCTGAGGACAGCCCCAGCCCAAGCCCCGAGGACAGCCCCAGCCCAAGCCCCGAGGACAGCCCCAGCCCAAGCCCTGAGGACAGCCCCAGCCCAAGCCCCGAGGACAGCCCCAGCCCAAGCCCTGAGGACAGCCCCAGCCCAAGCCCCGAGGACAGCCCTAGCCCAAGCCCCGAGGACAGCCCAAGCCCCAGCCCCGAGGACAGCCCAAGCCCCAGCCCTGAGGACAGCCCAAGCCCCAGCCCCGAGGACAGCCCAAGCCCCAGCCCCGAGGACAGCCCCAGCCCAAGCCCCGAGGACAGCCCAAGCCCCAGCCCGGAGGACAGCCCAAGCCCCAGCCCCGAGGACAGCCCCAGCCCAAGCCCTGAGGACGGCCTAAGCTCTATCTAAACCATATATCTGTTTCCGTCAATAGTAGCAGCAGCAGCAGTACCCGCTTCATGTAGTACCAGCACCAATCTAAATTGAAGCTCTGAGCACCGCTTAAGTCCTGTATTCGCACCATGCCAAAGAACCACCACATCTTTATGGTCGGTGGAGTCCTAATCCGAACATCTTTGCGGCGGCGGCCCAAATCTCACTGGGTCGGCCGATCAACCAGATCTTGACGATGCTTATGATGATCATGCCATGTTGCGACTGCTCAACGGTCCTCTAGAGCTGCAGCAATAGAGATTTCCTGGGGCAGCACAAATTCTGTTTTGGATACGTAGGAGTTGAACAATGCCTGTTTGGCGTGGTAGGATGCCGCGGGGTGCTGATGGTGTTCCTGAAGCAGTGCACGGGCAGTTGCGGACTCTACGTCCGTATGACGTCTTTTTACATTCTTTTCGAGCCACTGACAGTGTCGTACAAAGCTCGTCCATATAGGTAGGTACTAAACTCTATTCGGAAAAATTATTTGTGTCAGGATAAGCGAGAGAATGTTCCTTCGATGATGTAGGGCGGAAACAAAGAAAAGGGGGCTAATACCAAGCGCACGCGGGGCGTTTGGATGCCTATGTGCCGATGCTGGCTATTAGCAGTCCATCACGTTCGCCACGATACTCGTCGTATCTTTGGCGGTCGGTAGCCCTGTGAAGGACCTGTTGAGCGTGTGTCGCGCCACTTGACTGCGCGAGCAGGAGTCGACCACACAAGACAGACGCGCCACACCTGGACCTGAACCGTGTGGAGTTGTCACGACGTCCCCGTATCTGTGTCCCTGTAGCTCTGTCTGAAGCTTGGGTTTGCGCAATAGTCTGCGCGTAAAGTACTAACACTCATCCGCGGATGAGTATGATGCAAAGGCTTGCGCATCTGTCTGTATCTAGCTATCTTTTTATCCATTATGTAAATGAGTTATGCACGCCAGAACGGACCCCAACTTCAAGACATCCTGTCCACCTTAGTATTGCGAGAGCGCTATCGTCTATTAATCTACAGCCAGGAGTGTGGTTTCATAAAATGCGAGATGTTGAAAACCCGGATTTTGCGTTGCAGAAGCGGTGCTGCAACTGAGATGAATTCATGCCCTTTTAGCTACACACTCAGACAATCAGGCAATTAGGCAAGCACCAGCTTTTCGGCTCGCTCAATAATAGCCCATTTGGGTCATTGGTGTACTTACCATACAGGGATGGATGTAATTACATAGCCACCCAGCCAGCCAGTCAGCCGGAGGACAATGAACCGGATCCGTTACCATCCCCTCTCCTTGCTACCTTTACGTTCGCAACAGCGCCGAAACCCCCCGTGGCCTACATGTCTGTGTATGGCCACTTCCCGCGGCAGGTACCTCCACTTGCCAACCCCTCCATACACCCATACATGCATATGTATACACACGACCTTGCACATAACGAGACATAGATACATCGCCACGCGTTTCTTCTTCCTCCTCCTCCTCCTCCTCCTCCTCCTCCTTGTCCTGCTCCAGCCGGTGCTGGTGCCCGGTCCGGTCTGGAATTCCAGCTGCACTGCTTCGAAGTTTCCAGAACATATCTCCCTCCCTTCTGCCACCCCCTCCTGCCCCCCCCTCCAGCACCTCACTCCCCGCCCATGCAGCAGCATCACCGTGGGAAACACCCACACGAACACGCACTACACACATTGCTCCCCCTCCTTCAAAGTAGTTGGTGGTTGGCCCACTTGGCGCGGTGCTCCAGATCTGCTGGGTGGCCCAACCGCTCAACCACCTGAAGGTTGTACGAGACAACAGAACACAATTGTTTTAAATATGCTGTTCGTATAACCATGGCTTTTGTGCCGCCGTGCCATGACTAATTTCCCCTGTTTCCTCGATGTCCCCCTTGACCTATTCTATTTCCAGGAAACCGAGGGAGACAAGCAACTTTTCAATGCCAGCTCAAAGGTCCGGCTTCCCCCCTCTGGCCCCCACACTCCTCCCCCACACTCCTCCCCCACACTCCTCCTAGCGCAACTATATTTGCATGCTGGCCGTTCCCTCCTCCATCTTAACCCAGCTAATGTGTGCGTCCCTACCCCCTTGCCCCTTAGCAATGTGTCTCAAAGCAGGAAGGTTGAGAACCCCACGCCACGTTCCCCCTTTCAACACCCGGGAGAACCGAAACAACACACTCACGCGCGCACACGAAGGCCCCCACCTCTACCCCGTGTCCCCCCTTTCTTTCCGTATTCTCTCCCCTCCCCTTTTAGCTTCTTGCAAACGATCTCCCCACCACCACCACCACCACCTCCTCCCCACCGGCCCCCCTCACCTCCACCACCTCCCCTCCGGACAGCTTCTCCCGGGCCAACAGTTGCTCCACGAGCGCGTCCAGAGCCGCCCGGTTGCGGCTGAGCAGTGCAACCACCTGAACACCCACCCAACCCCCGGGGTGGTGGTGGGTAGCGCGGGAGGCGAGGGAGGGGAGAGGCGCAGAGGATTAATTATGCCTGAATCTCAAGAAAACAACATTAACAACAGCCGATGCAGCCGATGACATGTCCAAAGGCTTCTCAAACTGTGCGGCTCAGTGAGTCGAAAGCCGCCACGACGAGGCAACTGACTGCTCTCTTCTGTGAACTTTACTGATTGTTTTCGGAGCCACGTAAAACCGGAGTCGTCGTCAGCGCGTTGTGTCGAAAGGTCTTTGCTACCAAAGACGTTTCGTACTCGCACTCTACCCAGGGCAGCACTAACCCCGCGAGACATATTAGATTTGCGTAAACCGATCGCCTCGTCCCGGAGCAACATTTGCCAACATTTGCCGCTGCTGCTGCTACACGCGTGGGGGTGGGTGGGTGGGTGGGTGCGCGGGATGTATGTATGTATGTGCAGAAAAAGGAAAACGCTCTCGCTTCCGAAGCAACGTAATGCCGGGAGGAGGAGCGGGAATGTGCAGCTCCTCCATCACCAACGACGACGACGACGACGACGACCCCCTACCTGAGCGGCAACGTGTGTGAGCGGTAGAACACGGCGGCGGCAGCGGCATCCCACCAAGGGCCCATGCACGAGGGGGAAAGGAAAGAAAGGACGGAGATTAGCACTGCCGCAAGCTGATAGGAGCGACAGGAGGTTACATGCGCGCATACAAGTAGGGGTTACGGCGGTTGGGACGAAGTTCGCCGAGGGCTCGAAACCAACCCAGATCAGGGTTATGTGTGTGTGTGTGTGTGGGAGCGGGAGTTACGACGGAGCACAGACGATTGGGGAAAAGGAAATATAACATAGACGGATACACTCCAAGATAAGATAAGACCAATACTGTTGGAGAAAAGAAGTATGAAGGGGCAAGGGCGCGCGCGCAGAACTTTAAGACCACAGAACGGGGAATCGCTATAATGCCGTATGCCGTACTTTCGCATGCCGTATGGAGAATGAAATTGTGAGGGAAGTGAAGGGAAGAGGTTACGACGAGAAAGAAAAGGCCAAGTGCAGAAAAGAGGGCAGAAAAGGGCAAACGAAGTAAACGTTAGCAGATAGCGGAAAGGGGGGAGGGGGAGGTGCACATGCAGCAACAAACTGCAACCAACAAACAACATAAAAACCCAAAAGCCACCTTCCCTACACCATCTCCCCAGTCCATCCCCAACAAAGCACCGTCCCTAACCCCTTCCCCTACCCCCTACCCAAACTTGCCCCAAGTCCTCAACTTTTGCTATCGGGCCATCCCCCCCCCCC